TTGTGACAATAAGCAAAGGTCATTATAGTGTTACGACCATACGACGTACGGGAATGAGTTATCAGCTGTCTAATCGTAGACAACACAATGTCGAGCCTTAAACTGTAAGCCCGTATTGGTATTGTTTCTTTTATTTGGCTGTCGAACATTATTTATGGTTTGAAATATGATTTTATGTAAAATAATTTATATGAAAAAGCCGTCTTATAAGTAATGACCCCATTTCACCACACGCAAGTGGCAGAAATGACAATGATCAGCTGACGCATTTTTCTTGGCCGAAGTCAGAGCGCGCGGCCCGACGCACCACGCGTATTTGGAAATTCCGACCTCGACGAGCATCAGAAGCCACCTAACAGGCGTGTTCGAAACCGCAGGAGATGATGATGAACGGGTTTATCGAAACTTGATTGGATGAGCATATCGGTAATAGCGATTTCAGTGTGTGCATTTATTGTTCATAGTGGTGTGAAATGTGGTTGGGGTACGACCGATTAGGTATAACATTTTTTTTTTTTTAATCAGTATGTATATACCGGGTGGCCCAAAAAAAAACGTTCCGAACTTTGGAGTCCTATATCTCAAATTCGGGTGCGAATAACGAGCCAAAATTTTCATCAAATTTGCGTCACTTCTTTGCGCATTGGTATGCCAAATTAAAACACTGTACCATCATTTTCAAACCAGCAATCTTATGTTGAATTAAGTAAGACATTTTTTGCTTTTTTGCCGTTGTTGAACGGTAGTAATGATTGGCTTAGACGTACCATGTTAGAAAAAAAATAGAAAAATAGAACACGTGAATGATACCAGCACGTGTGTTGTTATTTTTAATATTTTTCCCACTTATGTGCCAAATATCCAAATACTAAGCCAAAAGTGTGTTAAAGGTAGTGTGCCACCTTTGAAAGATTTCCCGTTTTATTTTTCCTAGGATAAGAAGCTTCTGTTTTTACCTAATATCGCAAAAAAAAATCAAAAATGGGCCTGGAATAGTGCCTTTTTCGCCTAAAAGTTTATCGGTTTTTAGATATGTATAACAATTGTAGTGGGCTCACCTGCAAACAGGCGTCGGGCAACAATCGCGAATGCGGCGCACTTGTGACAATAAGCAAAGGTCATTATAGTGTTACGACCATACGACGTACGGGAATGAGTTATCAGCTGTCTAATCGTAGACAACACAATGTCGAGCCTTAAACTGTAAGCCTGTATTGGTATTGTTTCTTAAATTTGGCTGTCGAACATTAATTTGTGGTTTGAAATATGATTTTATGTAAAATAATTGATATGAAACAGCCGTCTCTTAAAGGGACCCTCCCACCTTCAAAAAAGTTAATGAATTGGCACGAAAGTGATGTCGCTCGGTTCAGAAAGAGCGAAAACGAATATCTACCAAATTTCATCGAAAAATATTCACCGGTTTTCAAGATATTAGACTTTTACTTTTGTTTACTTTTTGGGATCTCCGCTGTTCCTAGCGACTTTATTTGAAAGTGCGGCATTTGTTGCGCGCAAAGCAGCATATACCACCGCGTGCTACCAAACGTTTTAGTAAAAGATTTAAAAATAGTTAGATCTCCGCTGACGTCACAAATTCTAAGGGGGCATACCAATGCACTAGCCCCTTAGAATCCGAAAACTGCAAGTTTGAAATTCCATATCTCCGAATTAAAGCATTTGTCGATGTTGTGAGTGCCCAAACCGGTATTTGCAGGCCATGGCCACCAATTTGGCTATCTCAACTCAAAACTAATGTTAAGGTGGGAGTGTCCCTTTAAGTTATGACCATGGATGAAAGAACCTGGATAGGAAACTCCTATTCCTTCAACATTACGGGCAGCGTTCCGGGCGATCGACCTGCCACCTAGCGTTCGGTAAGTATCGGGACTGGAAACTCCCGCCGTTAAGCATTACGGCCTATGGTGGACGCGGGGCGGCATGTTTTGAAACGGGTATTAGACCGCAATGCGGATTTATTTTTAGGTTTAGAAGCTACTTACGACAGACAAAATTGATCAGGCTATCGAATGAGACCAAAACTATTATTGTTCGTTCCGCACCAAAGTCGTACACGAGGGCCGAATACAGGCGACCTTGAAAAAGAGGGCCATTTATTTCTAGTGTTTTTCTCTTCCGCGGCGCCGGTGAACGCTTACGCGGCGCCAGTGAATGCGCGGTAGACGCGGCTCCCGCTGCCGCCGCGCGTGCCCTCGGGCACTTACCGAAGGGAACGCAATCAGCTGTTAGTTTCCAATCCAGGTTCTCCTTCATCCATGTTATGACCTCATTACACCACACGCAAGTGGCAGAAATGACAATGATCAGCTGACGCATTTTTCTTGGCCGAAGTCAGAGCGCGCGGCCCGACCCACCACGCGTATTTGGAAATTCCGACCTCGACGAGCATCAGAAGCCACCTAACAGGCGTGTTCGAAACCGCAGGAGATGATGATGAACGGGTTTATCGAAACTTGATTGGATGAGCCTATCGGTAATAGCGATTTTAGTGTGTGCATTTATTGTTCATAGTGGTGTGAAATGTGGTTGGGGTACGACCGACAACCCGTCGGGGCGAATTTCGCACTGGGGTACTCAAAATTTGAAGAATTTAAGACGTTTCCATAAGTTTTGAAGGTATGGATAAGTTCTAAAAATCCGGTTCTCCTTATCCGGGTCATTAACTCCATATGGTCCAAGAAAGCTGGCACACTACCTTTAAAGGTAGTGTGCCACCTTTGAAAGATTTCCCATTTTATTTTTCCTCGGATAAGAAGCTTCTGTTTTTACCTAATATCGCAAAAAAAATCAAAAATGGGCCTGGAATAGTGCCTTTTTCGCCTAAAAGTTTTTCGGTTTTTAGATATGTATAACAACTGTAGTGGGCTCACCTGCAAACAGGCGTCGGGCAACAATCGCGAATGCGGCGCACTTGTGACAATAAGCAAAGGTCATTATAGTGTTACGACCATACGACGTACGGGAATGAGTTATCAGCTGTCTAATCGTAGACAACACAATGTCGAGCCTTAAACTGTAAGCCCGTATTGGTATTGTTTCTTTTATTTGGCTGTCGAACATTATTTATGGTTTGAAATATGATTTTATGTAAAATAATTGATATGAAAAAGCCGTCTTATAAGTTATGACCCCATTTCACCACACGCAAGTGGCAGAAATGACAATGATCAGCTGACGCATTTTTCTTGTCCGAAGTCAGAGCGCGCGGCCCGACGCACCACGCGTATTTGGAAATTCCGACCTCGACGAGCATCAGAAGCCACCTAACAGGCGTGTTCGAAACCGCAGGAGATGATGATGAACGGGTTTATCGAAACTTGATTGGATGAGCATATCGGTAATAGCGATTTCAGTGTGTGCATTTATTGTTCATAGTGGTGTGAAATGTGGTTGGGGTACGACCGACAACCCGTCGGGGCGAATTTCGCACTGGGGTACTCAAAATTTGAAGAATTTAAGACGTTTCCATGAGTTTTGAAGGTATGGATAAGTTCTAAAAATCCGGTTCTCCTTATCTGGGCCATTAACTCCATACGGTCCAAGAAAGCTGGCACACTACCTTTAACATAAAATATCAGCCACCGAGAACAATTAGCGATTGGCCACATCAGATTCGGGGCGATTTCTGCGCCGGTAAATGTGACAGTCGAGCAGGATGTAGGGAGCTTTGTGTTGTGATTTATTGGCAAGTGGCTTCTTTTGTGGGCTGAGGGGAAAGTGGGTTAGTTGAAAATGACAAAAATATATGAATATGTGAATGTTTAGTGGTGAGGACTAGTGTTGTCAGTTTCAGAAAATATATGTCCAATGTCCGTCCAATTTCCAATGCTTACGTTGATTGTTCGTCCAAAAATGTCCAAGCCAGCCATTTGTCCAAAGATGTCCGAAACCTACGCAATAGTTTACACTCAACACTGTTATTTAATTTGTTTTAAATGCACTATTACCAGCTTTAATGTGTTAATCATCTCAAAAGCTGAGCTTTCTATTCGCCAATCAGTGTTCAACACGATTGCTTTATAAAAATGCTGAGGTGTAGCAAGTGATTGTCCAAAGTTGTCCAACGCCTGCCGTCATTGTCCAACCGAATTCCGAATTGGACATTGGACAAAATCGGAATTCCAAAGATTCAAGTTCCGATTGACACCACTAGTGAGGACATGAATGTTGCATATCGCATTTTCTGTGTGCAACTTCAGTGGTGCCTTATCGATGTGAAGTTACAACGTGTAATGCAACATTTTAGCATCCATAATGGTATTGTTATGAAGCGTTAGGAAGCCCACGTCATTTCATTACAAAAATATCATATTTCAGAGATGTTAGGCTTCAAATTTAAATCTCGTTCCATGCTTGATGAGCTGGCGTCGTTTTTAGGAAACAAGTAGATCTACGAATAAGGTCTATACACTACAGGTCAGTCGTAGCTCTTCTGGGTAGCGAACAATTAATCAATGAATACGTGTAGGTAATTTCACCTTACTTCTTTTCCACTATCTGTCATTAGTTAGGGAAGATATGAGTACCTACCAATAATCGTATAAATAAAGCTACATAGATAGCCAGTCTTAACGAAATATTATGTTTGCCTCTAAGTTTTTAAGAAGTCATTAATTAGCAGCGAATAAACGATCTGGTAAACACGAGCTCTGCACCGATATAGGAAACTTCCTTGCCCTTGCTTATGCTAGTGCTGAGGGTTCTGCTGACACGGTACGTGCGATGTGCTCGACGATTACGACTGCCCTTATCATGTTTCATGTGCGTGCACTTGCCTTAACGAAACCTGGACTGCTTTGGTTACTTTACTTCATTTGTTATCTTGTGATGGCTTATGAAACGTGATATATTTTGACTATCTCACTATAAACATAATACGATTTTGAGTGTCCACTGGAGGCCTTTCCGAAGTATTCGACAGACACGACACGTAGAAAAATGCACTAACAGCAGTACGCCGATGAAGTTACGGGACTTACCCTGTTTTGACTCCAGGCTTGAAGAATGCTCTAGCGGTTATACATTCAAGAGTTGCACCCTGTTCAGTAAACCACCACAGTTCGGTCGTGCCAGTCCTGGCGGTGTTTTCCACACTGTGTGAGGTCACTCTTGAGATCCACAGCTCCGTCCACTCCTGTCCACGATCCCAGTCTTCTGCTGTCCGAGTCGCTACCCCTCGTCACCCTCGGAGCACCGGCCGCGCACCCTCCCGTCTATCCGTCGCGCGCCACACTGCCGCCGGCCGGCCCACGGCGACACTCCACTCCACGGAGAGTGCGCGCGCGCCGCTCTACCGACCGCAGCGCCGCCGCTGCCGGTGCGGCGCTGTAGTCGGCGCGGCTGACCGACCGTCCCCCGGTGGGTCGCGGCGCGCTGGGGACCCCCTGTGGCCCGCCGGCCGCCGTCCACCCCCCGCCGGTCACCCCCTGCCGGGCAGCTGCCGCCCGAGCCGCGCAGAAATGACATGAATGTTTTCCGAGGTGTTTTTGCCTGATGGCGATGTGACAGCTGGGGATGGCTGGCGGCTACCTGCCTCGCGCCGGATGCCGAGCAGGCCCAGCGGCCTCTTCAGAGGTGAGATGGCGGGATGAAGCCTCAGGGTGAGGTGAGGTGAGGTGAGAGCCGAGGGACAGGCAATATGCGTCATCTTACAGGTCAAAGCCGAGGTGAAGTGGAGGTCAACGCGCATACCCGGCATACCTGAGTGACTGTAATAAAGCCATTCAAACCACTGCAAGTGCAATATTGTCGGATTAGACTTCGGCGTACAATAACAGTCGTTTGGGCGGCTCGACGCGTCACCTGTTACAACTCACACAAACGACCGCTGACCGAACTCAAGTAGCTGCCATACGCGCAGCAGAGCTCCGTAACGTCTTCGCTGCAGCGTCAGAGGAATGTGGCGAATGGTAGAGCTCCCTGCAGAGTGTAACACAATGACAGCGCTGGAGCGACACACGACACACACGACAGACGCTTCAAAAACGTCACCTATGCCACACAAGACTGGCTGGACGAGGGAATCGTTCCGTGAATCGTGGCGAGCGGCTGGTGGACGTGGTAGTGCAAGACGTGAGCCATTCACCCGACGTCCCAATTCATACCTATACCAGAAATCGCGTCGTTTGGGTGGTGCCTCGTCTCCGGTCCTGTCTGGGGATTCATTCATCGAGCAGATCATCCGCGCCAGCTGCAGAGCCAACGCCGGAGTGTTCTCCTTGTTTGGAGCCCCATCAACACCACTACCAGTCTCACTGGCTGCAACGGCATCCATCGCGCGGGTTTCATCCCGTCTCCCGTAATCCTCAATCAGGCTTTCCACAACCGTACTGGAGGCGAGCCGGCCGCCGTCTTACGCGTGACGTCAATGGACCGTCGTGACGTCATTAGAGCAGAGGTCAGAGCAGGACTCGAGGACAGGGGTTATACCAGAGCTCCGAGCCGGGGAGCGTAGTGTGGGGCCTGAAAAATGGCCCGTCGCAGTCATAAGACGATGGGCCATATATTTAGACTTTACAGCTACTGGGCCTGGCTCGTCTGTTGCTAACTTAGTTTCAGAGAGAAAAAAAAAAAAGACGGCTAGAGTAAAATGGCATCGCACGCGTTTGAACGCTTCCTTACAACAAGGACTATCCATGAGCATCGCGAATGAATTTGATGAGCAAGTAGGCTCAAACAAGAGCCTGTAAATCTGTTTTAAGCGAAATTTGTATATGGACGCTGCAGTTGCCGAGAAATGTCATTCTTCTGTATTCCGATTCTGGGCTGGAACACTATTATGGCCACCTCTGCTATGTCTCTGCCACCATCATCAGTGTCGATTAGATGCCCCGTTCGGACCAACCTTTCTCGGGCGACTGTAACGCTGCTTAGATGCCTAGTTCCAAATGGAGACTGCATTTCCGAGATGGTGCAGTTGGACATCTCCATTTGGAGACTGCAACGCTGAGTCTGAATCTACCACAGCCCTGGGTGATTTCTTAGCGGGGTTGAGGTTGTAGCGGTGCATAGTTTCCAGTACCGTAAACCGGGGTGAGTTGATATGGATTTTGAGGTTATTCTAGATTTCTTTAAAAGCCACATTCATTTACGGAATTCTTTTTGTGCCAGTTTCATGGCACATGCCTTGGGGAGGCAATCAGCAAAAATGAATAAAAAATGTATATATTAAGCCCCTTTTTTAAAACGTCAAAGTTCATATCAACTCACCACCCCCCAGGGGGTGAGTTGATATGATTTTGGATTGTTCAAAATTTCTCGGCTAAAGAAGCTCAGAGGTGAGTTGATAAAATGCCAGTGTTTAAAAAAGGATGACAGAACACATCCTGAAAGAAACCATTAGAAAAATGATTGTAGTTTAGCAGCAGACCTCACATTCATGAAAACGCAATCATGTCCAACACAGCGCTATCAAAATGGCTTGATTTTAGCAGCATCATTTTTTCGCTTTATGATACTTAGTTTTATTTAGAACATTCTGAAGTTGGCTAGTCACGTGTCCTCAAGCCAACGGTATCAAAACTGGCAATATATTTTGGAATTACAAGTGTATTTTCTTGTAATTAAAACACATTGTCAGTTGCGGGTCAAGGTTGATATGCCTCTGACAAATAATGGATTGAAATGAAAGAATACATATACTTCTGAGCTTTGTGGAGCTTTGAGCTTTGTGGTCAACAAAATATTTATGAAGTGAAGTGAAGCGAATCTAATTCGGACTGTATTCTATCAGGTGAAATAAGCGGCATAAAACAGAATTCGGCATCAAAAGCCAAAATTAACCCTTGCACTTATAGGCGGGCGAACGGACCACCTCGGCTTTTCGCACATAACTCGTGCAAAAAGCGGCCGATCGCGACGAAACTTTCAGTGCCTCTCGGTTTATCAATTTTACACATATTCTAAAGATTTCATGACCCTGACTCAAAGGGTTTTTGACTTGTGACCTGATTCTCGAGACCATGCTTGGCCGGAATCGCGATTTGGCGTAGTCGGCTCACATTATCCGCGCATTTCCAGTCTTTTTGTGATTGTAACGTCCAAACATGTAGATGATGTTGGTCCCATGCAGTATTGTGAGTGTCAACTGTCAAGGTCACCTGAGGGTCAGGTCAGGTCATTGACCTTTGGTGACGTCGGCTCACTTTTGGAGTTTTACATGTTTCTAGGATAGTTTTTCGGGCCGATGTCGAGTTTAACATGCATTTGATCATTTACGAAGTAGTTTTAGTGCCTTCGTAACATGTTACGACACCGTCAGTGGTAGTTGACACTTGACACTCCCTATGGATAGCCGGCAGGACACCTACTGGTTGACCTGACCTGACCTGACCTGGCTTAAATGTACGAAGACACATGTGATCAAAACAAACATGACATTCGTGATCAGCAACAGCCAAAAAATAATAACCTCGCTTTACGAACTTCAAATAACCCCTTATTTTTCCCGACTTCTGGGTAATTGACCTGGCCTGGAAGGTTAACCAATGACCTAGGACCTTAAAGTTGGTTATCATCGGCTTCCTCGCGTCTCGGACAACATGCTCGTTTTTTCCTCGAAGCTCTAGCTCCACCAGGGGCCAAACGACGATGGGATTCCAACGGACCCCCCCCCCCCCCCCTATACGTTAAACGCTGGCAAAACACGAATACGGGCGAGGGCTAAAACACCAGTCAATTTCTTTATATTGTTTGTTCCATTTCATTTTGTCACTCATTCTCGGTTGGCAACTGCCAAGCAGGAAAACTAATCAGTTTCACGAGATCAGAATTCTCGCGCTGTTGGCCATACAGAAACGACAGTTCTGTCATTTTCGAAACCACGAATGATTAGGTATAACATTTTTTTTTTAAATCAGTATGTATATACCGGGTGGCCCAAAAAAAAACGTTCCGAACTTTGGAGTCCTATATCTCAAATTCGGGTGCGAATAACGAGCCAAAATTTTCATCAAATTTGCGTCACTTCTTTGCGCATTGGTATGCCAAATTAAAACACTGTACCATCATTTTCAAACCAGCAATCTTATGTTGAATTAAGTAAGACATTTTTTGCTTTTTTGCCGTTGTTGAACGGTAGTAATGATTGGCTTAGACGTACCATGTTAGAAAAAAAATAGAAAAATAGAACACGTGAATGATACCAGCACGTGTGTTGTTATTTTTAATATTTTTCCCACTTATGTGCCAAATATCCAAATACTAAGCCAAAAGTGTGTTAAAGGTAGTGTGCCACCTTTGAAAGATTTCCCGTTTTATTTTTCCTAGGATAAGAAGCTTCTGTTTTTACCTAATATCGCAAAAAAAAAATCAAAAATGGGCCTGGAATAGTGCCTTTTTCGCCTAAAAGTTTATCGGTTTTTAGATATGTATAACAATTGTAGTGGGCTCACCTGCAAACAGGCGTCGGGCAACAATCGCGAATGCGGCGCACTTGTGACAATAAGCAAAGGTCATTATAGTGTTACGACCATACGACGTACGGGAATGAGTTATCAGCTGTCTAATCGTAGACAACACAATGTCGAGCCTTAAACTGTAAGCCTGTATTGGTATTGTTTCTTAAATTTGGCTGTCGAACATTAATTTGTGGTTTGAAATATGATTTTATGTAAAATAATTGATATGAAACAGCCGTCTCTTAAAGGGACCCTCCCACCTTCAAAAAAGTTAATGAATTGGCACGAAAGTGATGTCGCTCGGTTCAGAAAGAGCGAAAACGAATATCTACCAAATTTCATCGAAAAATATTCACCGGTTTTCAAGATATTAGACTTTTACTTTTGTTTACTTTTTGGGATCTCCGCTGTTCCTAGCGACTTTATTTGAAAGTGCGGCATTTGTTGCGCGCAAAGCAGCATATACCACCGCGTGCTACCAAACGTTTTAGTAAAAGATTTAAAAATAGTTAGATCTCCGCTGACGTCACAAATTCTAAGGGGGCATACCAATGCACTAGCCCCTTAGAATCCGAAAACTGCAAGTTTGAAATTCCATATCTCCGAATTAAAGCATTTGTCGATGTTGTGAGTGCCCAAACCGGTATTTGCAGGCCATGGCCACCAATTTGGCTATCTCAACTCAAAACTAATGTTAAGGTGGGAGTGTCCCTTTAAGTTATGACCATGGATGAAAGAACCTGGATAGGAAACTCCTATTCCTTCAACATTACGGGCAGCGTTCCGGGCGATCGACCTGCCACCTAGCGTTCGGTAAGTATCGGGACTGGAAACTCCCGCCGTTAAGCATTACGGCCTATGGTGGACGCGGGGCGGCATG